ATTATACTTTAAATGAAAAATAAAGTTAAAGACAAATATAGTAAATACTACACATATAAATTGCGCAACTGACGTACGATACTAAGAAAAATAAAAAGCTTATCACGCGGTTGACGTGGTTAGCCAAAGAAATACAACGTACCGATAAATTTGTTTAGCGACATATGCGCGAGATAATTTCAAGGTTGATTTTAAAGTTATCAACAGAATAAGATTGAGCTAATTAAAAGCTAAAAATACGATGTAGTTTTTATCATTAATTAAACCGTAAAATTAACTGAATTAGATAACGAAAATATTTTCGATTTTTTTTCTTCAAAAAACGGTTATTTATAGCGTTTAAAAAAATATAAATACATATAATTGTTAATTGTAACTATCATTCAACTATTAATGGAAGAACTTTATATTTTACATTCAAGAAACCCAGAAATGTTAGCGTTTTTGAGATACAAATTCATGAATTTATTTCACATATCGCATGTAAACAAAATAATTTACGTGTTTTTAGAAAAAATATTTTCAGATTCAAATCCATTTCCCGATAAATGTATGTAAAATGTACAAAGGATAAATTCTTTTTTCAGTTTTTCATAAACAGTCTAAAAACACTATAGACTCAGTTAATTTCAGAATTCAGAGCGTATTCACTGTATTAACATCAGATTTTCAAGAATTATATCAACCGAAATCCTTTAGCCTAACGCATATAGTTAGATAATAATAACTATGAATAATTCGGAATACCAACAAATAAGGACAACATTACTACTTGTTGCTACTTGTAATAATTAATCATCATTATACAAATCTATAATTAAACTTATTAAAATCATTTGTAATTATTGTATGATATTAAAGGAAAACTAGCAATAAAAGAATAAAAGTAACTAATTAACTAAATGATACAGGAAATCAATATTACTAATTATCAATAAGCATCCTACAGTTTTAATCCATTGTTTATCAATTTACTTACATTGCAATCATTCAATCAAATGCTTCAAAAATATAAGAATTGATTGTGAGTTATGAAAACATTGGAACCATAGAGAATTCAAACGTAAGTAATATTCAACAACTAAGTCTAGTTTATAATGATTAAAATATTTACTTGTTTTTAAAGTAACTAACATTATATAGAATGTATCTAATATATAGAAAAGTAAGATTAGCGAAAACAAACGCAATGCTTAACAAGGTACGGCAAAATCATAACTGACAAAAATTCAACTATGTACAATGAATATGTTTATAATAACAATGAAATATTTATAACTGATTAACATTTAATCAAATGGTTTAAAGAAACTATAAAAATACAGCATGTTTATTTAAACTAATATGTACTACTTTTTGGGAAAATGAAAGCTATGTGTTTCTAATAGAGCTCATCATTGAAAGAAAAGAAAAGAAAGAACACACAAAGGCAATAATAATAATAATAAATAAATAATAACGTAATGAACGTCAGGGAGAGAAATTTTCACAAAATTTAATCTTTTGAAATGTTGAGTTTGTAAAAAAATACGTTTAGAGTTCCGTGCCTTAATCATAGGCCGCGGGGCAGCGTTTTAGCCAATGGCAGATTCTTTAAGTTAAAAGAAAAACTATGAGTCACCTGTTTTTCATCCATTAAATCAATCATTATTTCTGGAAACATTGAATCTTTATTTTGATTTAGTATTATGGCATTTAATATGTTTCGATTTTTAACTTTCTACATTCATTTAATTTTCCGGTCACCAAAAAATACACTGGTCATTTAAAAAATTTGTACAAATTTTTCATAAAAATATAATACTGGCGAGCAAAAAAATTTTATACTGCTAATGTACAAACAAAAAAAATTTCATGCTCGTTATACGTCATTGATACTTCTCTTCATAAAGTGTGGTACATAGCAACCGGAACACGCAAACGTATACTCAATTTCCAACAAACAATAAAATCGCAGACATACGTAAAGGCTATATAAATTAAATGCTTGTTTATTATTTATTTAAATGTTATTACAAGTTAAAAGCTGTTTAAAAAAAATGCGACAAAAAATTCTAACAGGATGCTCAACAACTAAAACGTAACATTAAAAAGCTTTCAAAATCTTAAACAGATAGGTCGTTTAGTATGACGAATACCTTTTTAGAAAGAATGAAGGTCAGCTATTTTCATTATTTAAAGTACGTTCTGAGTCACAACTTATTATTAATTCTTAAATAAACAAAAAAAAATTTACATCAAAGCAGAGAATGTTACATTAATGTAATCTAACAATTCTAATGGACGACTACAATATCATAAACAAAGCATCCAATGAAGGTCGCGTGTGTCTAATAAAAAAAAATAATAAACAATTCGAAGGGAGAGATTTTCAACAACGAACGAAATCCCAGTCTCAATTAAAGTAAAAAATTCTTGATTTTGTTGACAATTACAATCAACATGGGACTGACTACCTACATTTTTTAAAAGTTGAAAAAAAAATATTTGAATGACAGAGATTATCAACACTTTTATTATCTAATGTAAATTAGTAAAATAATTAAATCTTTAATGAAATATAAAATTAAAAATAACAACAGATCAGCATTACTTCAACAAATACTAGTTTGGAATAGCCTTGATAGAAGTAAACCGCGCCTTTCTTTTACTTCAACACGTGTTGTTTTTAAGTAGTGAAATATATTATTTCAGTGACATTGATTATTTTTACTCTAATATTAATAAGAGTAAGTGAATCTCATTTTTAATAATAGATAAGTATGAATAGCGAAAATATTTGCAAACGTTAAGTTGTACAGCTGCTTGAGCCACACCCTATACAGCATGGAATCGAAAATTGATTTTTTTTCAAACAATCATTGATTTCTAACTAAGTCAATCAAGAGAAATTACGTACCTAAACTAGGCAATAAATTTAAGAAAAGTAGCGAGTAAACTTATATTCGATGACTAAATTTTATGACGACAAACGGAAGGACTCTTTAGCGTATCAAAAGATGTCAACAATCGAACTGAACAACTGAAATTTACAACACTAATTTGGAACTGAAGTACAAAATGTATGAAAATTTAATAAGCTTAAATAAAATGTTATAACTGTTTTGTAAGTTCGAGGGGGGAAGAATTAAACAAGATAAAATTATTGGTAGCCAAAAAAAAAAATCGACTTACTAATTTTAATGACGTCACTGCTGATAAAAATAAATAATTAATTTCTATATTTCTAATCGCAGCATATGACTTAATTATCATATTAATGGAATGCGTGTCACTTGAATATTAGTTTTAAAACTAAAAATAATAATTTAATTACACAAAAAATGTAAAAATTAAAAAAAAACTGTCTCATTACATTCAAAGATAAAGCCAAGTAATGATCGATTTGATTTGCGAAATTACATTTTTCGACAAAAAAAGACATACTTATTATGGTGCGGTTTTAATCTATTCCATTCTCGAAAAATGGAACCAAATATTTCATTATAATAAACATGCTTCAATTGATAATAACGTTTGATACTAACAAAGCAAATCTAAACGTAGAAAATAAAATAACGATAGAACAACAGACGGCCAAAAAATCCCACACTGATATGCTGATACATAACACCATTCCAATTTAGGTAAATCAATTGAAAGAATGAATTATAATTATTACATTCAGTTACATAATAAGATCAACGATTATCAACATCCTTTTAAGCATAAAGCGTCAATTGCATTAGTTAAATTTTACAGTTAATGACTTAAACAAGCTACACTTTCCTTAATGTTATTATTTGATTTTATGCAGTCTAAAAAATTAAACTAAATATTTCTAATTTCAATAATTACGTCTAATTACATTACGAGTTCTACGATATCTATGGCATCTTATGACGTATCAAATACAAGCGCAAATAATCCAATAATAGTTAATATAATTGGATTAAATTTACTATAAATTTTAAAAAAATTATACACTGTTATGATGTTGATTTGTTTCATCCCAATCTAGCTAAAGGTAACTAAAAAACATCGAATTACAGTAATTACGTTTAATAATATAACAAGGTTACAAGTTTTTCGCTTTGAATCGAAGTTGCTAAACAATGTTTAATTCAATTAGCGGCTATAAAAACGTAAGACATTATGCTGTTATTTTGATCAATTACAGTTTACGTACTTGAAACTAAATTATGTTTAATTGCCATCATTACGTCCAATTGCATTGCACAACAAGGTCTACTATAATTACAGTTCGAATTATGGCGTATGTTATTAAAAATTATTAATTTGATGAGTTTAATTTATACAAGAGAAAACTTTAACTATAATGGTGTTATTTTGTTTCATTTCTGTTTAATTGCATTAAACCATAAGTCTAATTACAGTAAACGCTTCAACGTCTCTTTCACTTGATTACATCTACGACAATCAAGGATAAAAAGGGTCTAATAATAAAAAGAAAACAAAAGGATAACTACATTTAACAACAAATAGCTCACAGATCTTTCGTTATTGAGTTATTTTACACTTAACGAAACAAAGCGCGTGAAGTTAAAAAAGTGATACCTTCATTTATTAACAATAATTTAGTTAATGTTTACAATTTTATGCTTATTATTTAAACTTTATATTTATAACGAAGGATTGCTTACATTTTAAAGATAATATTGACACACTTAAATTTATTTTAAGAGGAAATCTAACAAATTGAATCAATAACTGCGCGCATGTCCAGCTTTAATCATACAATATTTATCCATCAGTTTATATCGTAAAAATTCATTTAAAAAATGAATTTTACATTTATTTAGAAATGTCTAAAATGTAAACAGTAAATTTTAATTTAAAAGCTTCTACATATTGATATTAACTTATCTTTCATGGATAAACTTATGTTATAAAAATATAGAAAGAAAAATGAAATGCTTATATTAATTGCTACTAATTAAGAAATGACTAAAACCTTAACAGGAAAAATGAATTTAACAGTTTCTACTGTTGACACTTACTTATCCATGACCACATACATGGGACTGGTAACGTGTCCAATGGGTAGTGCCTTCACACTACTCATCGCCAAAAAAAGCCTTCACCTCTCTCTTGGCGGCACACGCACAACACACACGAATTAATTGCATATAACCAATCGAACACTTATTCCATCTACTGCACACTAAATTAAGGGAAAATAGAGACCGCGATTTAACGCCAACACAATATTCCAATAATGTTATGGAACAGATTTCGACCACATGATGGAACAGTTTTACGTCCACGGCATCTTATGTCCAGGAATCATGATTGCAAAAAATAATAATAATAAAAAAATCGGTAAATAATGAGTCAAAATCCAAAAAGATGATTCAGTCAATCACAGCTCAGCGGCCACGTCATTCTTAAAAATCGCTCGAAAATCAACTGGGTACAATGAAATTTTCAATTTTCACTTCATAATTCGTTTCATAGTAACGGAATGAATCAAAAGAAAGGTAAAAATCGATGGTCCAAAGTCGATATCGGTCATAAAACGACACGATATTGGTCGCAAAAACAGTTAAAGCTGATCGACTCTATTCACGGTAAAGCGTTGCGTTGCAGCGAGAGGGTTTTCTTTCCAGTAAGTATAGTTGGAGCGACGCCAAGCTTTTGGCGTACCATCCTTGTCGTTCTACGCCAAGTCATTGAACTAGTCCCTGCTCGCCGCAGACATGACAGGCAGGTTCGGGAGAGTCCAAAGTATGAAAGAAGAGTTGAAGGGGTGTTTTGCAACAGCAGGGTCGGAGGGACGTTAAATTGTATGAAGGTCATAAACAACGAAGTGCGTAACACATACAATTTTAATCCTGTTTTCTTTTTCTTTTTTTTAAAATATGGTATTATCTCTACGGAAATTATTTTTTTTTTCACGTTAGGCTTGAATTCTATTGCATTTTATCATTCTTTTGTTAAATAGAGATTTGTTACATTATTATTCTGAAGATATATATCATTTATTTATTCTTTTTTAACTTTCTACTATGCTGATATTTTTAGCGGTACATTTTTATAATTATAAGCCTAGGCGGAAATAAAATCTTTTTTTTTTTTGGTGCTTGTTACGTTAAACTTAGTAAACTCTTTCATACCTTCAATGAATTGACATATCCAGTGAAATTTCGATATTCACTTTAAATTGAAAAATGTCTTTTCTCTTTAATTTAATTTTAAATATAAAAATAAATAAATAAAAAGCCTGCTACTCGTACTCGGAACATTGAGAATTTACATTCACATAGTCTGCAATTTGTATGTTTTGTCTAACATTTCATGTTGTTGTTGTAGTTCATTTACGTCGCACTAGAGCTGCACAATGGGCTATTGGCGTCGGTCTGGGAAACATCCCTGAGGATGATCCGAAGACATGCCATCACAATTTTGATCCTCTGCAGAGGGGATGTCTAGCATTTTACTTTGCTGAGTTTCAACAGCGTTTAAATGCATTTAAATAACTCATCATTTTGCTTTCTATTTTTTTTTTTTTCAATGCTAATGCTGTTTTGCTATTTGAGGTCTAGTAAGACTAAAATATGAAATATATTTTTACACAGTTGTTTCTTATTTAAAATGTTCGATATAGGACTTAATACGTTTGTTACAAAAACACCATGGTGGAGAGATTGGTCAAGGCATTTAATGTTCATGGCTTGATGAGCTAGTTTAAATCTGTGAAAAATTTTAATTTTTGGAAATTTAAATACTTTAAACCAAACGATCTAAATTAATAAAATCTATAAAATGTGTTATTTATTCTTGTTATTCCTGGATTAGGAAAAATAACTCAAATGGGCAAGAGTGAATATAATTAATAAACCAATAACTGTTATGTTTTTGTTCTACGTCTAGGCATTATTAGTATCAGAACGGGAAGAAGTCTTTTTACAATGTATTAACATGAGTGTTTATCGTGCTAACTTAGAGTATGACTTAGAATTAGTGCTGTCAAAACGACTGTATGGCTTATAACTAAGTATTTACATTAATATTCATTACGTTGTTTTCATTGTTAGTCTTGTCAATAGTAGTATTAAAATGGCTGTATAATGTCTATGTGTCTTTTAACAATGTATTTACATTAGTGCTCATTTCATTGTTTTCCTGATTTATTTTTTAAAAAATTATATCAAATTTATGTATGTTTTTAGCAATGTATTTACATTAATGCTCATTTCGTTATTTTCTTGTTTTATTTTTTAAAAAATTATATCAAATTTATGTATGTCTCTTAACAATGTGAAACATTAGTGCTCATTTCATTGTTTTCCTGTTTTATTTCTTAAAAAATTAATCAAATTTATGTATGTCTTTTAACAATGTATTTGCATTAGAGCTCATTTCGTTGTTTTCTTGTATTATTTCAAAAATTCATACCAAATTTTGTTATATGTTTCAGTCTAGGGCTAAATGTGGTTTTAAAGCCAAGCAGAGTTAGTTAAACAAATAAGAAAACTTTGAAAAAAGGAAAAAAAGCTATTATGTTTTAAAAATGCGCCTTTATGATGATGTCTGTTTTTAATCTTTTGAGGACGTTTTAACAATGTTTCATGATAATACCTGTTTTAAATATATGGGAGATGTTTTAACAATGTGCCTTGATGTGATGATACATGTCTGTTTTGAATCACGTATGGATGTTTTAACATTATAACTTGATAATGAAAGCTTAAAATCTTATAATGATGTTTCAACAACGTTAAAGTTGATATTAAGCAGTGTTACATTAGCTATATGTTGTTCAATTATTACTCCAATTTGTTTTTGTTATTTTGATACACTACTTTTTTTTATCAACAAAGTTAAGCAGACCACCCCCATTATGTTACTTTAATTTTTTTCAAATTTAATTATTTGTGAAAAAATTTTTTACAAAATTATTTTTTCTTTCACATCAATGGAACATTATTGTTTCACATAACTGTTGCTTATTGCTCTCCTTTTCTCCTCCTGATTGATTATTACAGCACGATCATATACATAACATAACTGTTCACATAACATAACTGTTGCTTATTGCTCTCCTTTCCTCCTCCTGATTGATTATTACAGCACGATCATATACATAACATAACTGTTCACATAACATAACTGTTGCTTATTGCTCTCCTTTCCTCCTCCTGATTGACTATTACAGCACGATCATATCAAAATCATACAAACGTAGACATGAATCTTGCAATACAATTCCAATAAATATTTATATTTATCAGACAAGATTACAACTTATAATTTTTACCCGAGATAAACACGAGATAAATAATTTGTTTATAGTATCATCATATCAAATATATTTTATCAAATTATGTCACAAATTTCATGACACGAAATCAGGATGAAATCTCCATTTTTTATTTATTTATTTTTTTTTTAAATAATTCTGATAGTAGATGACCTTAAATTGTGATGAAATGCTTATATAAAAAATTAAAAACTACTACTGTTAAAAACAGCGAAGATCTTAATAATGAGTAGATCATAGTTAAACAAAACATTTAAAATAAAATGGTACGCATTATCAACAAAAAGGATAAGAGACTTCTAGATTGTAAGAGTTTAAGCAAACATAATAAAAATCTGTTTATTTGCACTACTGTGTTGGCAATATTATAAATACATTTATGGTCATGTTTTAGTTCATTTTTCAGAAAATTAAAAGAGAACATAAATTCCCGGTGCAAAACCAAAAAGGAAGAAAACAATGACATAAATATTAGAAAGACGGGCCATAAAATGTTGTGTTTAAATTGTATTTATCTGTAGTATTTCATTTTTAAATCTACCGTTATCGTTGGTGCTAGAATTTTCCTAAAATTGTTAAACTTCTTTGAAAATCGCCAATTTGGCGAAATTTAGCCACCTAGAAAAAAATTATCAAAATCAGGGAATAATTCTTTATTTTTGTGCAGTTTTATTAGCCGAGACATGATAACTAATAGATTACAAACGTTTTATTATTATTATCATTGTTACAAAACTGAAGCTTTTTTCCCTATTGAAGTTTCGCGCCATTTTCATAATGGCTCTGGCTAAACATTAGCCAGTGCCCCCAGGACCTCTGAGTATAAAGGACCCACAACATACTTTCTGTATATATTTCATTACATATTAAAAGTATGTAAGATATCCAGGGAAGGGGCTCCATTTTATCCGTTAATTTACTAGCTGTGCGAATAATTAAGAAAGTAATGCAAAATTTATAAAAGCGAGTACCAATTTCTAGGAAGCTGGTTAATGACTGGAAAGTAGTAAAACAACTTTGTATTTAAATCTTACTAAAAAAAAAATTACGCCAACTATTACATTTTTAGACCTCTGCTTAACATATTCGGCGGACAATTTATTGCCTCACTTGCCTAATCGATAAACTCCATGAAACAAATGTAAATAAATAATTTAAAATAAATTTTCTGATTTTTTTTTTTTTTCGTCATTTACCTGAGTTAATACTGTTATTAGAAAAAAAAATTTTGAATACATTAAAAAAAAAAGTTTATTAAAATTTCAGAATAAAGAATTTATCATAATAATCCTACTGCACTGTAAAAAAGTATAGTGTAATAGTTGCCACCATTTTTGGTGCAACATGGTAGGAAAAAGCTTATGATTAAGGATAAAATGAGATAGTTCATATTTTAAGACAGGGCGTTTGTTTATTCTGGGATACTTATGCATTATTTGCTTGGGCCTACTGCACTGTAAAAAAGTATAGTGTAATAGTTGCCGCAATTTTTGGCGTTGAGCTAAACTAAATACATTAATTACTATAGAACTGTTGTTATCGTGCAAAAAATTATACGATATCGACAAAATAACAATTGTTTGGATGACTTTGTGCAAATATATTTCTAAAAATGTGTTGGTTTTTTAAATGGAATATTTTTGCAATGAATCTATTAAATTGAATCTATGTGCGTGAAAATATGTGTAGTGTAATCAATAAACAAATAAAAAATGAATAAATCAATCAAACTATAATAGTGAAAAAGTAAATAATTCATTGTAAAAATTTTTTAATTTTCCTTAACACCGAAAATGGTGAAAAGCATGCACCAAAAATTTTTACAGTTTTTTACGTTTTTTTTTTCAGTTACTGTGTCGATAATGTGAAGTTTTCATCGCATAATATATTCTTTTTTGATATCTAGCTCTATATTTATATCAGTTTTTCACAATCTCGATATTTTGTACAAATATATTTGTTTGTTTGGCTCAGGGTATAGAGCACTTGCTTCCCAATGAGAGGACTCGCGTTCGAATCCCATCAACGGCTGATTGATACTGCACCTGGCTCGCACTGACCACAGTGCTGACGTAAATTATCCTCAGTCGCTGACGGATCATAGGTTAAAGTCCCCTTGCCGACAGGCTAACCATGGAAGATTTTCGTGGTTTTCTTTATCATGTAGCTTTCAAATTTACAAAAAGCTACGGAGTTGAACATTGGTAGTCGTTAACTCAAAATTGGGTCAATTGTTCAACGACGGCTGTAGAATATATATAAATTTGTCAAAATTTTTCTAGTTACTTTTTTGAGATAAATAAATAAGTTCAACTAAAATGCGTTGAATATAATAGTATTTAAAAGCAGGAATATAAATTAAGAAAATTCGTTTCGTTCGTTTATATATCTCTAAAAATATTTTTTTCTTTTAAATAATAATAAAGTGAATTT